TTTAATAGGGGTAAACTGTGTTTTTAGTTTAGTAATTGAACCCCCTTATCATTTTAGTATCGTAAGTAGAGCATGTTGCAAACTAGTCCAATAAGTGGAAAATTTTCGTTGTTTTAGTCCTCCGGCGCCGGAGACGCCCGCGTGGCTCACCGGAAACCATGTGTCCGCCAAGTGTCCCGCTAGGTCAGCGACACCTGGCGGATACGTGAATTTTTTTTTTTTCATTTTTTTAATTTTTTCAATTGGACCAAATAAAAAAATTAAAAAAAGCAAATAAAATTAAAAATAAATTTTTTAAAAAATTATAAAAAAATGAAAAATAAATAAAATACGTGTCCGCCAGGTGTCGCCGACCTGGTGGACACGTGGCCTCCGGCGAGCCACACGGGTGTCTCCGGCGCCGAAGGACTAAAACAACGAAAATTCTTCAGTGATGTGACTAGCTTGCGACAGGCTCCACTTACGAGACTAAAATGATAAGGGGGTCCATTTACGGGACAAAAAAAAAATAGTTTACTATTTTTAAAATAATTTAGTTTTAAATGAATATCAAATCAAACACATATTTTTCATTTTTTATATTATATTAAAAATCAATTTTACATTCTAAACATCACATCAACACTTATTTATATCACATCATATAACTATTCAAATTCAAAATTTTTATTATTCAAGTCCCAACTCAAAATATCCAAACCCCCAGACAAACACACCCTACAATTGACTTAATTAACTAAATATATTTAAATTAATATAAATTATTATAATTAATATTTATAATTATCTTAGTTTATATAAATTTTATTATATCTATTATTATTTATATGTGATATTATTATTTATATGTATTTTGATTTCAATAAATACTTACATTTATAATCTAAAACGAATTACATTAACTTAATTTAGATATATTTTGAAATATTTTTTAATATACTTAGTTTATATAATTTTTGTTATATTGTTATTATTTATACATGAGAATATTGTCTATCTGTATTGATAAATTTAATAAATATATAATGTATATAGTGTTTGGTTACCCCAATACTTAATGACGTAATCTTTTTATTATATTGGACAAATAAATTTATATCACATTTTATGAATAAACCAATCAAATTGTATTAAATACTTTTATTTTAATTAATTTATATAATCTAAGGGTAAAATAGTAAAATTATTATATTTTCATTCCCTTTTCTACCTAATCAAATACAAAAATACTATTTTCTCTCACCTCTATTCCATTCTATATGAACCAAATACGTTATTATAATTTTAATATTTTCTCCCCTCTCTTCACCTTGTACATTAAAATTCCTCCTCTCCGTTGAACCAAACAAACCCTTAAGGGTAAGTGTCCTGAACCTAGAGTTGTCAACTCTAGTGTCCTGAACCTAGAGTTGTCCTGAACCCTTAAGGGTATGTGTGGTCGGGTAAGAAAATTTATATTTTCAATTTGAAAGTCTTTGATTGTGCTGCAAATGCTGTATATAGATGTGGTACACTTGAACCTAGAGTTGTGAAATATATTTTTTTAAAATATCTTTTAGGAGTTAAAGATTTAGATTGTGGTTAAAAAATGAAACAGGTTTCAAAGTATTTGTTAGTGGAGACGTCACCTTTAATGAAAATGAAATATCTTGCTTGAATATGACAAATATTGAAACTAACTCTACTTCTAATAAATTGCCGAATTAATTGGAATTTTTGAAAATTTGCATGACGTATCTAATTCTCATTATAAGTCGCTTGTTTCTGAATATAAAAATATCTTACAAAATGCTAAAAATTTAGAATCAGAATATGAGATTAGAAAAACTACCAACCGACTAGAGATCGGACTAAAATAACCACTAACCCACCTATTAGATTTGATGAATATGATTTGACTTTGTATGCCTTTAGTGTGTTCGAATCATTAGATGAAAATGAATCTAAATCCTATGAGAAAGCTGTTAAATCTAAACATATTAAAAATTGGCTAAATGAAATGTATGATAAAATGAATTCCTTGTATGTTAACAATACGTAGATTCTTGTTTCTAATTGCTCTATTGTTGACTATAAATGAATTTTAAAAGTCAAAAAATAAAAATGATAATGTTAGTTTTAAAGTTAGGTTGGTAGCAAAATGTTTCACTAAAAATGAAGGGATTGATGACACTGAGATTTTCTCACATGTAGTTAAATGTACTAGTGTTAGGATTATACTTGCCTTAGTTGCTCACTTTAATTGAGAATTGAAACAAATGGATGTTAGAATAGTTTTCCTACATGATGATCTAATTGAAAAAATTAAATGAAACAACCCGATGATTTTATAGATAAAAGTAAGTCTAATCATTTGTATCTATTAAAGAAATCTTTGTATGGTTTGCAATAATCACCTAGACAGTGGAATATTAAATTTGAGGAGTGCATGAGATCATAGAAATTCACAAGAAGCAATTTTGATCATTGCTTGTATTTTATGAGATCAAATGATGTTTATGTTTTCTTACTTATCTATACGGATGGCATGTGATTGATTAATCTTAGTGAATACTATAAAGCATATTAATGATTGTTTGAGCAAAACATTTGACATAAAATACTTGGATGATACAAATAACATTCTTGGTATGAACATTATTATAGATGAGACTACTTCTACATTTTTGTTGAATCAGTCGGCATACATTGAGAAAGTTGTGAAAAAATTCTGAATGTATAATGCAAAGTCTACTAATATGCCTTTGGCTTTCCCTTTTGTGCTAAGTAAAGAACAATGTTCTAAATCTGAGTTTGATATGAATTACATGAAATAGGTGCTATATTCGAATTCTATAAGCTCTGTGATGTATTTGATGATTTGCATTAGACCTGATATTGAATATTCTTTGAGTTGTTAAAGTCATTTCATGTTTAGTCCTAGAACTAAATATTGGAAAACAGTCAAATGGTTACTTAGATATCTATGTGGTACTAGTAACTTCGGGTTAAAATTTGAAAAATGTATTGAAGAAGTAACATTGAGAGGTTATGTGGATTTGTATCGTTGAGAGGTTATGTGGATTCTAACTATGCAAACGATAAAGACAATAGAAAATTTACATCTTATGTGTTTACTTTGTGTGGCTCATGTATAAGCTGAAAATCTTAACTCAAATATATTGTTGTTCTATCTACTATTAATTTGAATATGTTGTTATAACTGAGGCTTTAAATGAAGCATTGTGAGTAAAAGGTTTGCTTTTTGAAATTAAAACACTGCGTAACAATATGATAGTCTATTCCGATAGTCAATCTAGAATCCAGTTATGCAAAAACTTTATTTTTCATGATAGAACCAAATATATAGATGTTATGTTTCATTTTATACGTGAAATAGTTGTAAAAGGGTTAGTTAAACTTGAAAAGATATCTTCTCAATTTAATCATGCTGATATGGAAACCAAATGCTTGTTTGTTTCTAAGTTTCAATCATGTTTGAATGTATTAAACTTTGATACGTTTGATTAAGAATTTGTTTAATCTTCCACGACAACATGTATTATTGTTATATGTTTAATATGTGTTTTACTGCATTAATTATGTGTTAAAGATTGCAGAATATGTTCCCACTCCCGATTGCCCTAATCATGATGGTGGACTAGAAATAAGGTGTAGATTATGGGTATGTTTCAGTTCGACTTGCCAAGACTTGAACCCGACCTAAGCTGTGAACTGACCCGAACCATGAACCGATCCGATTAGTTCTAATTTTGAATCCCAAATTCTATCAAGTCCGATTCAGACCTATTCCTTCTCTCATACTCCATGGAAATCTCGATAAGCCTCCCTCCAGAATTTTGAAATCCCTGCAAATCCACAACGACAAGCTTAGATTATTCCCTCTTATTGTGGTTCAAGCCATCCTCATATCTATATATATATGTGTGTGTATTCCTTTTGGTGAAAGAGATCGTGTAGGCAAGAGAGTAAGAAGGAAAAAGAGACACCTTGTGTGAAGCAAAACTCGGTCTCGTGAGTCCTGTGTTGCCTATTCATCGCCTCTTCTGACTTAGCTTTAATTTGTGCTCTTGAAGTGATTCTGATTTTATCTTGTTCCTTCCTCTCATTTCTGTTCCTACGAATTCTTGTTCGGGTTTCTGGGGGTACCAATGATTAATACCTTTGTGGAGTTGGCAACATAGGCACACTTGGAGTTTGGTAAAGAAAGTGCTTGTGATCTGAATCGGCTACTCAGTTCGATCAAAATTCTTGTTTTATCTTTCTAATTCTTTATTTTAATTTCTTGACTCTTGTTTTTTCTTATTCTTGTAATCCACTAATAGTTTGTATCGAGAACTATTGTTTTGCAGATTGTCCGGTGCTCCGAATCGGTCCAAAAATCAACATTTCTAAATGTATTTAACAAGATAATTATTTTATATTATTAAACTTTTGAAATTTAAAATAGCTTAATACACATGGTTCGCCTAGTGTTTGTCGGGCCTAAGGTTCGACCAGTGGTTTACCGCACGTCAAACAAAAAAAATATATGAAAATTATTAACTAACTAGGTTATGTTTGCTTTCTATTTTAAATAAAAATCAACACTATTTAATTCTGTCAATATAATTCTCAGTATAAATTAATTATTCTATTTCACAAAATATCTAATAAAATACTATTTAAACTAAAATTCAAATCAAATCAAAATCCGAAAATCATATATCTTTCTTTGATATATATATATATATATTGCTTTGATTTTAATTTTTTTATTATGAGTAGATTTAAAATAATGTTCTATAAAAAAATTATAGTAAAGATTATGTATTAAAGTAACGTGGCGGTCACTGTGCACACCGCATCATGTATTAATATAATATAAATATAACACATAAACTAACAACAAATGTTATAGTTTCATATAACATACAACAATTCATTTTAACATACCACATATTGTTATACACACACTTGTAATTATGAATAAACATTGTATGTTTTCATTACCGACAACATATGTTGTGTACAATAAAATTGTATGTTTGTATATATTACGAGGAAAAATCAACACCGTAACTGTTCCCATAAAGTAAAGAAAACAATAGAATGCCATTTATTTGTTTAAAAGTCGATATAAAGGGAATAACATCACGTCATGGACTTGTCTTTCAAAAGCTCAACTCAAAATTGTAGGCATGTCTGTATGTGTAGTGAATGTGTACGTGCGTATATCAATGAAAAAAAAAATGATATATTGTGAAAGTAGTTAGGATGGGGAAGAAAGAATCAGTGGATAGCGATGATGAGGAATCCGACGGATACATACATGAGCAAGACGGGGTAGAGGGCGAGGGCCTTTCTGTTGGGGGTGACGGCGGTGCTCATGAAGGGATAGGCAGCCCAGGAGCTCCAGGCCATGGCCACTCCCACCACCACCACTTTGCTTATCACGTGGAACTTCACCATCACCATGCACACCAGCGCGCCCATGTCCAGAGGGAATAGGCAGTACCCCAGCAGGCTCAGGCTCTGGAAGAAGATGATCTGCCCCCCCTGAAAGTCAAATCCAACAACATAACATAACATAGCTATACTAATACATATGACTGCTCCTTAACAAAGATAGGCTGGGTGCACTTGTAAATGTGTAAATGAAGAACAACCAATTCTTTACCAATAACAAAACATTCAGAGTCAGAATTACGGCTCCGGCTGCAAGCAGCGCAAACGCAACAGCGAATACTTCAGACTGAAAAATAGTTCAAAGCAGGAGATGGCAATTCATTAATTAGCCATAAACTTAAAGAAAGTTCTTCAACAAGAAAAATGCAGGGGAAGCATACATATATATATATATATATATATATACACATAATGGATTGATCCCAATTCAAAATGCAGAGGAAGCTTATGATGATGGATTGATTCTGATTCAAATTCAAATTCTAAATCGACCTCCAGAAACTTTGCAAAATTATCTCGAATTTACCAACGGATATTATTATATAGTAATAGAATCATAGTTGCAGAATTTAGAGGAATTGCGATCAAATCAGAATGGATCGTACAAAATTATTTCAATGAAACGCATAATAATCGGAGTAACGGAGACGAAGGTAGAATGAATACCTACCTTCTCAATGGAGGCCGACCATGAGAGAATAAGGCCGAGGAAAACGATGAAGAAGAATGGGCCCCAAAGATCCCAATCTCGCAATGCCTTCCCCGGATCTTCCCTGTACGGATTGGGGAAAACAACCAACTGCAGATTATTGACGATTCTGGACAAATCGCGGTGAATCGTATCCCAAACAGGCTCCGTAAGAGTGTCCGGCGGAGAGCCTAGCGCGGTCGCCGCGATGCTGTGGCTGCCGCCGCCAAGGGCAGGCTTGGAAGGGGTAATGGAGGGGGTGGGGAAGGGTTTCGGAATGGATTGCGAGGGGACGTTGGATGTATTGATCGGAGGAGGAGGCGGTGGCGGATTGACGGGAATGGAGGCGCGGGGTGGGGAAGGGGGGCGGGCGGCGGGGACGGCGGAGGAATAGGAATTGATGAGATTCTCAATCTCGTCGATGTCCGATTGGGAGGTGGGATGGAGAGGGACGGTGTCGCTGTTGGACATTGCGGCGGAGGAGACGGCGGCGCCGGGAAGGCAGTTAGTGGTTTGAACGCGGCCCGCGAGGGTGAGAAGTTGCTTTTTTTTTTTTTTTTATGATTCGGTGTACATTTCTCTTATTCATTTTATTTTTTAATTCTAGTATTAGTTTTTTTTTAGTTTTATGTAATTAGAGAATATATATATATATGTATAGTATTACTAATATTTTTAATATATACACACTTACGTACTCACACTTAAATGCTTTGTACACTTTCTCCTCGGCCTTTTGCACTGATCATTATTCTTGTAAATTTGTATTGGATCACCTACTCATGTTCATTTCTTCCATCTCCAAACGATCCACGCACCTCCTTCATCTTGCTACGCTTTGGCACCGCCTTCTCTCTCGTCGAGCTGCTCTACTACTCCGCGATTCTAAGTCATCCCACATTCTACCGGGGGATTGTCGTCGCTCCTCTTGCCGAGCCGTTGACTAAGCTTTGGTTGTTTTTTTTTTTTTTTATGATGGAGCTCTGCTGATTGAATTTATTGAGGTATGGTGAGTTTTGTTACACTTCGTGTGTGCATATGAAATGGTTTACATGGATATTTTGTTAGAGACCTTGTTGTAAAGATTTACTCAATCTCTTCGATATTTTCAATAATCCAATTTAAAAAATTCTATTCATTACATACCATCGGAATCATCGTTCATGTGCTGAGTATTGCAAGTGTTCTTAGTTGTATTGAATTCCAATGCGAACAAGCAAATGATATTAGGGTCGTAGAATAGTTGTGTACATTAGCATTTGAAGATATGATAATGATGATAAGAAATCCCTAATCCCTAAACCCTTAAAAAAAAAAAAAAAAAAAAAAAAAAAAAATTAATTGTAACATTATATTGGTTTGTTAAAGAAGTTATTATATCATTATAATAACTATATCAGCATGGATACGGTTTGTTACTTCACCTCTCAACCATAAAAAGATATGATAACATTAGTAACAATAATTGAGCATTAATAATTGTTTTAATCACTTTATTTTTATAGTAAGTTAATCAAGTATATTACTATATTTATAAATGATTATTATATTATTATTCACATACTTTGGTCAACTTGTCTTTTTGGTATCAGAGCTACATGAAAAATATGATTTTTGGTTTAATAGTTTATTTCATCTTCCCGTCTATGCTATTAAAATGACTACTAATAAAAAGAATATTTTTTTCATTTCTCTAATATCAAAAATACTAATGTAATTCAAAGTAAAAAAATCTATGTTCCCATTAATTATTCAAATTGGACAATTTTTCAACAAAATATAAAAATTATTTATTCTATGTTCATTTGATTTTAAAATTGTTTTTTCTATAAAAATTAGTGAATAAACACATTTTATTTAAGAAGAATATCAAACAATCTCTTTACAGTTTTTTTTACAAAAATATATTAATAAAAAGTTATTGATATATCATTTTCGATTAATTTTTGTTATAAAACTCATAGTTTATTTAAGAGTAGATACTCCAATTTATTTAGCCTTAAGATATAAAAGATTAAAAATATATAAAACTGCATTGTTAACTATGATTCAAACAAATATTTATAATGGTCAATATATTTTTATTGTTCATCAAAATTTTCAATTGATTTAGATATCATTTAATACTAATTTCATTAGTATTAGATATTCATTTAAAAGGTAATGAATTTAAAAAATTAAGTAAATTTTTTGCAATAATACAGTAGTATAATTTATTTTATATTAATGACTTCTCAATTAAATCCCAAATTTAGTTTAAATCCTATTAATAAAGAAGAAACAATATTATTACAAATAAAAGCTGAACAATCTTCCGTATTTGTTCCTAAAAGAATAAAATGAAATGAAATTACAATATTAGATGAATTCAAATCTCAGACCCTCAAATTCCCTAGAAATTTAGAAAGAAAAAAATAAAAAAAATTATAGAAGAATCAAATAAGTCAATACTACGTAGATTTAATTAATTTAGAGAAGTACATTCAACAAGTTATTCAGTATTTATAACTTCATTTAGAGTATAAAAACCATCTAGGTATTCACTTTCAGAAGGTACATTACAAAAAAAAAAATCTAATTAGCTACAATATTTTTAACTATTAAATATTTTTGTAGTTAAAATGTATCATTTAATAACAAAATTAATTTCATTGCTGAAAAATAAATAATGTACTACAAAATTAATTTCGTCGCTAAAATTTTTTTGCTAGAAAATTCAATTTTCATCGCAAAAGAGTTTTAGCTTCAAAATTAAATTAAGCATATTTTGTTGCTAAAATTATTTTGTGATGAATTTTATTTTTAAAGCAAAAGAGCTTTAGCGAAGAAATCATATATTTGTTGCTATATCACTTTTTTAACTTTTATTGTAAAAAATATATCTTTCATTACAAAAGTCATATTTGTCGTCAAATATCTTTAGGAATGCGGTATAGGCGATGCAAAAACTTTTTGCTATGAATTAATTATCTTTTGCTACGAAATTTTTTATAATTAAATTTCAAATTTTTATAGTGTACAAGATCCAATTCAATTAGAAAATTCAGTAAAATGTAATTATAAAACCCCTATTACATAACCAATAAATTCATCTTCTACTTCACCAACTTTTTCTCAAATGAAAAATGAAATAAATATAATTATAAGTTCTAAATTTATACTTCAATTAGAAGATTTAGAAGAAGAATTAAATAGTTTAGAAAATTAATAAAAAAATAATAATTTTCAAAACTTTATTCATTTTGTAAAAAATAAATAAATAATAAATAGATAAAGAAATGAATACTAAGTATTAACAAGGGATCTCAGGGTAAAACCCGGCCGAACCTAATACCCTACAAATCAGGTTCGACGAAAATATCACATTAGGCGAACCATGTGTGGTAGGTGACCCGAGGCGTCGGAGGTTTGAACCCATGACCGTATCACAAGTCCAACCCCTACACCACCAGGTCATTCCTTACGGGACTCCTTTCTTTCTTGCTTTGTAGGAAGGGAATGAAGATTCAGTTGGAGAACCATGGGCCTAAGACTTCACCTTTGAGGAGCCCAGGTTGGTGCGGTCCACTTTTGTGGTATATAGTCTAAAAAAAGTGGGAAATATGTTTGTTCACCTTTCTCAGATTGTACGAGGATTTTAGCTCCTAAATCCTTAACACATTTTCAAGAAAAAAATAAACATTTAATTACAAATATGTTCGTATATATCAAATGTTGTTGGATAGGTATTTCACTGTAATAGTTTCCTTCTAATTATGTCCTATCTTTTTTTAATTACCATTACTAATTGCATGCCATCAATTAGTTGAGATTGATTTATTGTTTCAGTTATTTTTACTTTTTTTTTTAGGCATATAATATTCAGATTAAATTATGTCATTTCACAATCTATCAAGTTGGAAAATTACTTCTATTTTACATTATATATAATGACATCAAATCCTCTATTCTCATCTCTCATATTCACCCAATAAAAGGTTGCCACATGTAATTGAGAGAAAAAAAGTTATCTACTATTTTATTTACTTCTTAATTTTTCTAAAATAAAATAAAAATTATATTCTACCTCAATTTTTATTATATTATTTTCTTGTAAAAATTATTATTTTCTCAAGATATCACACTTACTATGTAGATTCAATATTTACATAATATTTTAAAAAAAGTTTATTTGAATTTGGTATTGATTTTTATTTTGGATATAATATTTTATGTTTAAATAATAATAATTTTTTTAAAAGTAACGTAAAAAAATAAATTAAATTAAAATTTCATATTATTTTTTATTTTATTTTTGAAGAAAATATTTTAATAAATAAAGCAAATATCTAAATCATAAATTTTAATATTTTTTCATAAAATTTCATACAAAAAATATCATTATAAAATTGTGTTTAAACAACATCTGAACATTATATTTTTAAAATATAGTACTCCCTCCGTCCTATTACAAATTATTTATTTTTTCATTTTAGTCCGTCCTTTAACAAAGTATTCATTTTCTTTTTTAGTAACTATACTATATATCTAACATTACAAATACTTTTACAACTTACAATATATTACACATATGTCATTCATTACCTTTATATCACACATACTAATAAAGTTATTTTAGTCATTTCTACTTTATTCCTACTACATCCCAATATAATACTAATATTTCTAAAACTACGTGTAAAAAGCAAATGAATATCTAGTTATGGGATTGAGGGAGTAATATATCTTTTTATGGTAAAATTGAAATATAATAAAAATTAAGATAGAAAAATTATAAATAAGATTTTATTAAAGATATTCTTTTTGAAAAAATAAATATAAATGATAGAATTATAGTTAAAAAGAAAACATAAGTTTTATTAACGTTCTCTATCATTCATGTTGCTTATTTCATTGGAGTGAAAAGAGGGAATAGAGGATTTCATGCCGGCTTCAACATAATGATGGATGCATTTAAATAGGTTGATATTTTGCATAGAAACTTCTATATTAATTATTTTATAGTTTCTACAATTCTCATTTTTCCACAACAAATATGTACCTTCATTGTATTATATCCCAGCACGTTGCGGGTGCTAGTATATATATATATTGAATGCTATGATATAGTTTGATTTTTTGTCGGTAAAAATATTTTTAAATGTGTTTTTATTTTTTTTAAAAAAATGTAAATATAATATTATATTGGAAAATCGGCACAAAAATAACATGTGTTTTCATAAAATTACGTCAAATTCTCTATATTTCTAAATTACACCTAACAAACATTCGTCACACGCTGCAAAATTTAAATAAAATAATCTTCTTTCCATAATAAAAATAACGAGTATAGCTGAAGTAAGATCGTTCCATCAGAAAATTAAAAAGATTTTATTTTTTGTTGTTTAATGCTCCCTCCGTCCACATAAAATGTCCATATTTTATATTTCGGTCCGTCCCACATAATTTTTCCTTTTCTTTTTTGGACATATAATTATACACTTTAATTACATTTTAAAATTCACAATTTATATATTTTTTAATCTTAATTAAACTACTTAGTTAT